GCTCTCCGTTTGGATCCAACCGGAGCACCGAGCCCTGGTTTGTTATTCAGGTTAAAGTGGGAAGAAGCAGCGGGTTAGTCGGGCAGCTGAGTGAAGTGGAGCCTGCGGAGGAAACACTGGGACCATCTGGATGTAATAGTCCGTGGAGGTGCTACGGTGCTCGGCTGCACAGATAGGAAACCCCTTGGCTGACAGGATGCACCACTCTCTTTGAAAAACTTTTTCTTCTTCTTCTTTTTGGTTTATAACAGCAGTAGGCAACCGCTACTTTGTTTATCTCATGCATTCCTCGGACTTCCGGTTTCCCTTTTTGAGATATTTCCTCACGCAGGCGCAGAACGTACGTGCTAGTTGGCCGTCGGATGTAGTCTTGGTAGTGTTTAAATGCAACTGACACAGGCCGACTTGAGGCGATGTGAGATGACGCAACAGTTGGCTTTCATCGCAGCTAGTTCTTTGATGTCGGTTTGGTGTGTCAGCACCTTTAATCTCATAGTGACAGCAAAACAGCCGACTCTGTCATAAAACTTGTTAACAACCATGGGGTAACATTAGCTTTGTGATGCTAACAGTTAGCCCTGTCACTGTGTGCGTGCCTGCCTGCATGCGTGCCTGCGTGCGTGCGTGCGTGACTCTAGGCACAGAGCTCCGGTCCTGCAGAAAGAGAGAGGAGCTGAGCACATCAATACCCGACACGCAGCTCTCCAGTGAAATGAAGTTTCATCCATTTGAAATAGTCAAATTTGCAGTAAAGTTGTGGTGACTAGATAAAATTGCAAGGTCACGCAGAATTCACTGAAATTGGCTGAATTTGCATTAATTGTTGCGATCGCATCATCCTGGAGGGACTGGTAAAGGGTCATTATATTGTGATATTAAGCTGCAGTAAAGGTGGGGAAAAATGCAGCACAATATTATGATTATGTGTGTGGTAATATTATATTGTATTGATACACTGAAACTAAGTACCTTTTTTTATTACATAAATTATTAAAATTGCAAATACAAATTAAACTTTTGGCAGCCAGCTAGAATCAGTGGCGTTTTTAGTCAACTTGATACATTTTGCTGCAATAAAAAATGATTGAAGTGAGTTAAACAGACTAACTACTTGACAAAGTTTTTCTTACTTAATACATAATTTGAAGTTAAAAAAGTTAATAAATCACAATATATCTGCATATGTTATTGCTAAAAAAAATCACAATAATATTGTATCATGACTTATGTATCTTGATAATATCAAATCGGGGGGCCTCTGGTGATTCCCACCCCTGAGCTGTGGTAACCATGATCCAAATTAATTAATAATTCATATGCAGCACAACATGAGCGAGTAGCAGTAAAGACAAACTCAACATTTTGAGAAGTGTGCTTATTTGTGTTCTTGCCGAGAGTTAAAGAAGAGGACAGATACCACTGTCATCCATGTCCATCCAAGTTACAGCCAGCAGACAGTTAGCTTAGCTTAGCATAAAGACCAGAAACATGGTGAAACAGGTAGCTGGGCTACACTCTATAGTGTGTGACATGCAAAATGTTTGTGGCATAGAGTAAAAATACCAAATGTGTTGATACATTTGCCAAGGGGGTTGTCAGATGAGTAGTTTATTTAATGCTATTCCGGGTGGGAATCACCAGAGGCTTCATGATAAGATATCATCAGGATACTTTAGTCACAGTACAATATTATTGCAAATTAAAACGTGTTGTGATATGCTTAGTGTTGCAATAAAACATATTACAATATTTTGTGATTTATTACCTGTTTTCAACTGCAAATTATGTCCCCAAAGGAAAATTTTGTCAACATCTGTATTATCTAATAAGATAAAGTTTCTGTGTGTTCATCTCACTTCTTTTTTTTTTTTTTTTTTTGCAACAAAATGTATGTAGTGGACTAAAAAGCAACTGATTATGTTATTCCAGTAGGCTACACAAAGTTTATTTTGTATTTGTAATATTAATAACTTATGTAATTAAAAAAATCCAATACTTGGCACTTTGTGATGATACGATATTGCCACACAAAAATATCACAATACTATGCTGTTTTGATTTTTTCTCCCCACCCCTAGATGCTATGATATTCTACTTGGATTATTTCGGTAGTATTTTGGCCTGCCTAGATAATATTTAATTGTAGTGCTTGCTATTAGTTTAACTAGTGTTTTTAATATATTATATTTTATAGGTTTAAGTCGTGTTAAGTTGTAAGAGCTTGTCAATATTCACTGTGTTCTGGTATTTTAAAGCCAAATATGCCTACAACATGAGAAACCACTACCAGTAGGAAAAAGAGGAATGTTTGAAATAACCAGTGGCCAGGCTTGTGACACTGCACAGCATGATATGATAACCTTTTGTCCCAATCAGCAATGCTCAAATTGTTTTTGCAAACTTTCCTTAGTAAGTAAGGGTCTGTTTTGTTGTTTTTTGTCTCAGGTCAAACCAGAGGAGACTGTACCACCCCCGGTCCTTCCAAAACCATTAGAACAGCCACCTCCAACAACTCAAAAGCCCAAGAAGCAGGCTGTCTCACTGCCCCAGCACCAAACACAAACTCAGCAGCAGAGCCTAGCTCAGATACAGCCTCATCTTCCAACACAGCCTATGACACAGCCTCATCTACAGTCTCATCTGCCATCACAGCCTCACACACAATCTCAGACACAGGTCCAACCCCAAACCCAACCTCAGCTCCACCTAAAGGCCAGCGCAAGAGTGGCCCCCACCTCTGCTGAGCCTGTTGAGAAGCCTTGGGAGGCCATAAAGCCTGTACAGCCTTGTACAGAGTCTGAAAAGTACCATGACATGTACGGACCCACACCTCCTGCACCTCCTGTCCGCACCATAGAGAGCAAATTGGCCACAGCAGCACTCAGCCAAAGTGAAGCCTCCTACCATATCCTGGGTGAGGGCCCTTTGCCTGGCCATTTGGAGGATGCTCTGCCTCACCATCCTCCTTCTCCTCGTAAATCTTCCACGCACCCGCCAGCCTACCTGTACCACGCTAAAGGAGAACCAGTTTTAATTGAACCTCCAGGAGCTGCATACTACCACCAGAGGTCTATTCCCCTAGGCCCACAGTCCATTCCACACCACTTCCGACCAGACAGTGTCCCCCCACACCTCTCTTATGTATCCAAATCTGAGCCTCAGATACCTTATAGTGCCCGACTAGACAACAGATACAGCACTTTAGGCCCCAGGTCCTACCACCACTCTATGAAGTCCAGAGGAAACCCTCGCAGTGTGTATGTGTCTCCAGGGCCGGGGCATCAGGGTTATAGCCATGACAGACCCCAAGGCTATCCCACCATCCGCAGAGTGCACTCACTCCATGTACCTTCCACTATCCGCTCAGTGCCCATCCAAAGGACTGAAGTTCCTCCAGATGATGATATGTTCTTCTACCATCGGCCCGTGTATCAGTGCAAAGCCTACCAGCAGCCCCCGCAGCAGTCCTCACAAGCTGACTACCATGTCACCCAGCTGCAGCCTTACTTTGAGAATGGACGGGTTCAGTATCGTTACAGTCCGTACTCTGGTTCCGGCCCTTTGGAAGCACCTTACTATGACATTGACCCTTACGGCACCATCCGAGTCCGGCACTTCCACTCACATGGCAGCCGAGATCTGGGAACCGCTGCTGGCCGACCGGGTGGAAAGGCAACTGGGTACCACTACCTTGCTCGCCTTCCACCTGGGAAGGAGCACAGCTTTGTGAGCAGGGACATGCCACCCAGTCATGGGACCAAGGAGACTGCTGCTTACCTCGCGTGGGACCCCGAGGAGTCAGAAAGGCTCCGCATGCACTCCATCCGCAGGGAGAGCAGAGCCAGACAGAAGATTAAAGGCCCTGTCCTCTCTCAGTATGACAATGTCGGCTTGTTTGCACCAGCAGATATATCAGGTTATGAAACCCTGCACCTGCGCAGCAAATCTGACCCAGGTAAAGCTGTGCTGGTTGCAGCCGAAAGCAAGGATGGGCGTTACCTTCCCAGACACATGGTGTCAGACCCTGATGTCCTTGTGTACATGGAGACTGACAAGCATGTCCAGGGCAGCACAGCAGGTGACAAGTCAGATGGGCTCACCAAGCAAAGCAGTTCCAAGAAATACCAATCCTCTCACTCCCTTCCAGCTTCTCTGAGCCACAGTCTGTCCCATCAGCAGGAGAGCGGCCGACACGAGGCCAAGTATGAGACTGGAGATGACAAGCTGGGTGGAGATGGCAGCAGGTCAAAACACTGGCAGCAGGAATATCCCAACAAGAGGAACTTCCAACCACGGTACGAGTGCCCTGATTCTGACCTCCACCAGAGTAAAGGGAAAACATCAAGCAGCTACCATAGTACAGACGACCAGCCATCAGCCCCCAGGGAACAACACTCCCGCTCCAAACCGGAGCGATCACACAGCATCCGAGAGCAGCAGCACTACAACCAGGGAAACCCTGAGCTGGACAGAGATTACTCATATCAGAAACACACCACTAAAACAGTGCAGTCCCACTATGATAACTTGGACGATTATCACCCAGTACCTCAGCCTCAGGCCCCTGTTCAAAAACGTGGAGGCTCTGGCTCCTATCCGGCTCCAGGATTCACAGTGAGCCACAACAACAGAGCATACTCCACAGCACTGGGCCAGGGAGCCTTCATCCAGACTGACCTGGCCATACAGAGGCCAGAGACAGAGATCCGTACAGAATGAAGCATTTAGAGGAGAAAACGTGTGGAATTCTCTTTAGTTGTGTAGAAGAAAGACTCTATTGAACTACGGTTGCAGCCTCTGCAGGACAGTGGACTGTTCTATCACCAATATTTTTGCTCCTCTGTATTTTTAATGAATTGTAAAGAAAATTGTAAGACTTTTTACAGAAAGTCCTGAATGTACCTGAAATTATTGTCCAAGAGGTCATATTATTGTGATTGATTGAGACAGTAGCCAGTCATAAATGTATATGATATGATAGATGTAAGGTACTTTAAACAGGAACACAAAAATGTTAAAAAAAAAAAAAAATCTCTCTCTCTCTCTCTC